CCTCCAAGTTTATTAGGGCATTGTGATGGGCTGCCCAATTTTTTGCAGACCCCTGCCAAGATTTCAAGTGTAGTTCAAACCCTGATTAGACCTAGATATTTGCAAAACAAAAAAAAAAAAAATCTATTTGCAAGCTTTCCAGCTCTTGCTCCCTTCCTCAGGCGAAGGAGGATGCAAAGACTGTAAAAGTTCTCCCAGGTAGAAATGAAACTTCATATTGCACAGGAGAATTAAAGGATGTTATACATTCCCCAAGACAGAAAAGTTCATTTTCTGCAAATTAGAGTAAAATAAAAGTAGGAGCTTTTCCTATGATTGATGGCGCATTGTGCAGGGGTTGAAATGATTCAGGGATCTATTTTGTAGCTGTGTTGGTCTGAGACAAAGAGGAATACTGAACTCTCAAACTCTTAGTTCAGAGGTGATACCTTTTATTAGACCAACTAGAAAATAGTAAAAAAAAATCTTTCTTTGCAAGCTTTTAGACACTTGTGCCCTTCTTCAGGCTGAGGGGAACTGAAAGATGGTAAAACCCTTTCTGGGACCTGACCCCACCAGGGAAAAGAAACTGCCTTATCTGCATATCAAAGAGCAACTGGCACAAAGGGACCCTCATGGACCCAGAGGAACAGACATCCACCTTCAGCTTCAATTGAAGGGATCAAAGCAGTCTGTGCAAACTGAAATTTATGTGCTACCTAAGGGGACTTTTACCATCTTTTATTTCCCCACCCCCCTAGCCTGAAGACGGGCTCACTGATATCCTGTCACACTTTCAGCTTCTCTCATTCCTTGGATTCTCAGAACAGCAGAAACTCCCTATGCCTGAAGAAGGGTGACTGTGCCCAAAAGCTTGCCTAAAACTTTTTCTAACTACTCGGTCTAATAAAAGATACCACATCTATTCAAACCTGCAAAGAAAGAAATATATAGGTGGTACCTTTTATTAGGCCAACTAGAAAATAGCAATAGTTCACCCCTTGCTCGCTCTCTCTTACGCGCTCTCTCTCTCTCGCTATTTTCTAGTTGGTCTAATAAAAGGTACCACCTCTCCACCACGAGTTTAAGAGTTCTGTATGGAAATGCTGTCATGAATAAAAATGAACCTCCTACCTCCAGCCCAGCTGCTAGCAGCCTCGTAAAGCTACTGGAGCCACTGGGAGGAGAGGAGGCACAGCGGAGTTGCAGAGCTCTCGCGAGAGGAGGCGGGTGAAGAGCCCGCTGTGCATAAAGAGCGGGGTGGCTGTGGCTGAGCGCAGTAGAGCAGATCAGAGGGCAGCGCGGGATCGGAGTGGGCTTTTTCTGGGTGAGTGCGGTCGGGGGAGGTGGGGCCATGTCCGGACTGTGTCCGGGCGCGCTGCTTCTCTGTCCCGTGCCCTTTGTGGGACAGCGGCTGCCTTTCTTGGCGGGGGAAGCTCCTTTTTCTCCATCCCTAGTGTCTGTGTCCCTCAGGCCCTTGGATCCTCGTCCCTGCCTTGCCCATTGTGTCCTCCTCCGGAGCTCCCTCTGTCCGGGCGGGGGGCAATCGTATGTCCCTGCCGCCCTTGACAGGTGTCTTCTGTCAGCCCTAAGGGCCTGTGATAGCTTCTGGCAAGGTGTGACCTTCCAGTTCGCTGGAGATTACTGGGAGAGCGAGTGGATGACCCACTAAGGGTATGTGCTAGGGACAACTAGAAGCAAGGGGTGAAATCCACAAACTGGAAAACCCCTGGGGCAGGCAAGGGGGGAGGTTGGCCCTCCTGCTTGTAGGAGGAAAGGCACTGGCTTGTGTTCCTTTTGGAGGAACACTGCAAAGCAAGCTGCTGGCTGTCTTTGCTTAGTCACTTCCCTGTTTGGGGGCTGTTGCTTTCCCCACACCTGTGGGCCAGACTCCATCACATCTTAAATTGTGCTTCCTTTGCGCAGCCTTGTCATCCAAGTGTTTCAGTTGTGTTCTAGGCAGATGATTTGGAAAGGAGTCTGGGATAAAATTGCTGTGTAAAATCAACTGGTGCTTTGGCCCTACCTGTTGTGAAATCTTATTTTAAACTCTCTTGTTTTAAATATGCCTTTGTTTAAACTCTGCAGCTGGGGAAAAATAGGTGAATTTCTTCATGTTGCTTTGCATAACTGCCTGATATGATAAAAATCATCATAGAGGCTTGAAGCAACAATAGTGCAAACAATGCCATAGAAAAACTAAGTTCTCTAAATGATGTTGAATGTCTCAGTCCCCATGTTCAGCTTCAAACACTCCACAGGTAAACTTGTGCCTAAACCCATAAACAGAAGAGATACCTGAAACGAGAAATTTGCCTGTGGTGTACACTACTATTATTGTAGTGCATTGTATAAGAAAATTGCCTGCCAGACACTGTCAAAGCAGCAATAACAAACTGCTTCAGAGTTTTCTCCCTACCCTGACCCTGCAAAGTCCCTTTGTAAAAGAGATGGGTGGGTCCCAGGGTGTTGAGCACTGGGAGGAAATGGTACTTGTCTTCACGACAGATATCTGTCTCTCTGCAAACTTGTTTAAGCCTTTACATCTTAATTATTGGGGGAATGGCTGGCAGGAATACTTCATACTACTGTACAGTTGATATACTTACCCTACTGAAACATGTCTAGGAAGCTAAGTGTACTTGCATGTACCTCACTTCAAGCTCACGCAAGTATACAGGATTGGGCCCATAATGTATGGACTCCTAACTGTGTTAAGACCATCTTCCATTGCATTAATCAGCTGAAAAATCTTGTCCATGTCAAACTGTTGGTCAAAAGTGGTTGTAGGTACTACACTTACCTTTGTTTCCCTATTGTTGTTGGCTGGCTTGGCAGATATAACTATTTAGCCAGTGTATGGAAGACTATCCCATACAGTGAAATGGACAACACAAAATAACTGATTGTCAGATGCCTCTTGCTGAGCTTGTGGGGTAAATAAAAATTACTATTCTTGAAGATTAACTGTTCATCTGATTTTGGGTTTTTAGTGCTCCCTGAATGGGTAATTGCCTGAGTACTTCAGGAAAAACTAGACTGCAGGTATATAAACTGTTACAGTATAACCCATTTCATAGATGGAATGCAGATATCAATCCTGTTTGTGAAGGATGAAAGTTTTTAAGGTGGCTTGCTTAACAGTTCTCCAGAAGGGAGATCCTTGCCTTAAAACATTAGTATCTGTCTGTAGATTAAGTTGAAGGACACTGTGGCTAGTGAGGACCTATTACATTTTTTTTTTTTCTCTTGACCTTTTTTTATCTTGTAGGCTGTACAAGACTCGGGATCAAAAATGGTATTGGTTGCAAGTGATCCACAACAGGTATGCAAGAGTGAACAGACTAGTCTTTCATGTATCACCAAGAAGGCTGTAAATCAACTGTCCCTTTTTTTTTTTTTTTTT